CTGATGACTCTTCCATGAAGACCATATTTGTACAAGTATCTCTTTATAGTGGAATAGTGTACCACAACTCCAGTGTCTGCCAGATCTTTGTGGAGGGATCGTGCAGTCAAATGTGGGTTTTGAATTGTTTTTCTCACAATCCTGCGAGCTGTTCTGTCTGATATTTTTCTTGGTCTTCCAGATCTTGCTTTAACTTCCACTGTTCCTGATGACTGCCATTTCTTAATTACATTCTGAACAGAGGATATTGACATCTGAAAACGCTTTGCTATCTTCTTATAGCCTTCTCCAGCTTTGTGAGCGTCAACTATTTTCAGTTTCAGTTTTCTAGACAACTGCTTAGAAGAACCCATGGTGCTGATTGTTGGGGCAAGGTCAGATGAGTCTGGGCATTTAAAACCTTTGAGATTGACATCACCTGGTCTTCCCAGACGATGATTGAGAACAATCCATGACACTGGCAGGTCTCAGCTTTGCAAAGGGGGCAGTGCATGCTATAAATTCTGCAGGGTGCCCAAACTTTTGCAGACGCCATTTTTTTGTTTTCTGTTATTTTAAAAGTGTAAATCATGGAAATAAAATCTAACTTTTGTTGACATATTATAAGAATGTCTAATCTGTAATTTGATGCCTTTTGGAGATTTTTCCTTCTTTCCTTGGCTTCTTTATGCACATTAATACAAATGTTTAGCTGGGGTGCCCAAACTTTCCATCCCCACTGTATATTTTTTTGTCTATGTCACAGTATATACATTTTGTGTTTTATATTTAGTACTAGCGCAGTCTTATTTTTTTTACATTTGTATGCACCTTCACAAAGGTTCGACTTTGCAGCTGGTTTTGTGGTTAATTAGGGTCTATCATTTCTTTATTGTTTGTTTGGCTATCTATATTTATTTAGACTATTCCTCATTATATGCAATTCTAGGTTATAATAATATAGAAAAGAGGAACTCCCCCTCCCCCTACTGATAGCACACATTACTTCATTTACAAGCTGCGCAACAGTTTGCTGTGTACGAGGGAGGACATTTCCTTTAAGCAACAGCTCTGACAGCCATCGACAGCAGCAGCGATGACAGAGGACACCAGATACAGCTCAACAGATTAAGGATTCATGTACACTGCAGCTGCTAAACTGACATTCAGGAGCTTTTTCTGCATTTTTTTCAGCAGCCCCTGAACTCTCCCTAATGTTTTCCTATGTGTCCATGTACACAGAGTCGTTTACAGGCAGTTGAGTTTACAGCAGGGGCGGACTGACCATTTGGAAACTCGGGCACTGCCCGAGGGCCCGGGGTCAGTAGGAGGCCCCATGAGATGCCCCTGGTACCTTTTTCATAGGCTTTTTTTTGAGTTTGGGCAAGGACACAGGGGCCCATGATCCCCTATTGCCCGGGAGCCCCATGAGTTGTCAGTCCGCCCCTGGTTTACAGTCGTTTTTTTTTGAACGCACCAAACTTGCGTTCAGGAGTAGATTTTATCAGCATTCTAAACGGCAAATGCTTGTAAAAGCGTGTAAACGCGGTTAACTGCGTTTATAAGTGTTTGCATTTAGAAGCATTTTTTAACTGTTCCATATCCAGATCCTTTTTTCATCATCAGAAATGCATGCAAAGTGTTTTCCACGTATTCAAATGGACCCGGTACACCAGCGCAGTCAGTTCCAGGTTTCGCGTGAAGGAAACAAATGTTAGAATGCGCCGCATTATGCTCATGATGGGATCCATAGGGAATACAACCAGAAAAGACCGGTCTTCTCAACACATACTGCTCTCTCTGCTTCTGCTCTCTCTATTTCTCACAAAACGTCTGAAATAGTTAATTTTTTATTATTTTTCATTCTGGGCATTTGGGAGGGTCTCCTGAGGTTATCTTTTAAAAACGCTTCTAAATGCAAACGCACATAAACGCGGTATACAAACACGGCTAAACTGACGTTTTTTAACCTACGTTTTCCAGCAGTCAGTTTCCATTGTTCAGAAGAGTTTTCTAAATGCCCCGTGTACATGAGCCCTAATAGTTACTACCAAGAAAAGTTTTGTGAGTTTCTCCGGCCTTAAAGCTGAACTCCAATCAAACCTCTAAATACACAGATGAAATGTATAAATCTTACTAGCCAAAGCATTTGTATTTGTATCCATCCAGTCCTGTGATTTGCACAGCTGTTCCACATGAGACAGACCTGTCTGGACCTGATTTTTCTCTGTTGCAGTTCAGAAACACTAAAGCTGGGTTTACACTTTTTTTTTTTTGTTGCATTTTTGTCAGAAGAATACACTGATGTTCACTGATCAGCTCTCTGCAGCCATTGGCTTCAGCGTCTGATTGAATTACTGTTTTCCAGCAGGACCATTCAACAGAAGCTGGTGAACTGCCTGAATTTCAATATTTGTATACCCAACTTTATGTATGTGGCTCCTCTGCCAGCCTGTGACTGGACAGGAAAAAGAGAACCAACAGACTGATTGGCTCATCTCTCTCTTTATATATATATATATATATATATATAAATATATACACTGCTCAAAAAATTACACTTTTTAATTAGAGGGTAGCATCAAGTCAACGAAACGCCTGGGATACTGATCTGGTCAGGTAAGTAGCAGAGGGGGTTGTTAATCAGTTTCACTGCTTTGGTGTTAATGCAATTAACAACAGGTTCACTAGATGGGCAACAATGAGACAACCCCCAAAACAGGAATGGTTTTACAGGTGGAGGCTATTTTTTTCCTACTCATCTTTTCTGACTGTTTTTCACTAGTTTTGCATTTGGACCCTACAGAGGTTGCACAGGCAGTCCAACTCTGATATCACATCAATACGTGCCATTGCCAGAAGGCTTGCTGTGTCTCCCAGCACAGTCTCAAGAGCATGGAGGAGATTCCAGGAGACAGGCAGTTACTCTAGGAGAGCTGGACAGGGCTGTAGAAGGTCCTTAACCCATCAGCAGGACCGGTATCCGCTCCTTTGTGCAAGGAGGAACAGGATGAACACTGCCAGAGCCCTACAAATGACCTCCAGCAGACCACTGGTGTGAATGTCTCTGACCAAACTATCAGAAACAGACTTCATGAGGGTGGCCTGAGGGCCCAACATTCTCTAGTGGGCCCTGTGCTCACTGCCTGGCACCATAGAGCTCAATTGGCATTTACCATTGAACACCAGAATTGGTAGGTCAGCCACTGGCACCCTGAGCTTTTCACAGATGAGGGCAGGTTCACCCTGAGCACATGTGACAGACGTGAAAGGGTCTGGAGAAGCTGTGGAGAACGTTATGCTGCCTGTAACATTGTTCAGTATGACCGTTTTGGTGGTGGGTCAGTGATGGTCTGGGGAGGCATATCCATGGAGGGACACACAGACCTCTACAGGCTAGACAATGGCACCCTGACTGCCATTAGGTATCAGGATTAAAACCCATTGTCAGACCCTATGCTGATGCAGTGGATCCTGGATTCCTCATGGTGAACGACAATACCCGGCCTCATGTGGCGAGAGTATGCAGGCAGTTCCTGGAGAATGAAGGAATTGATACCATTGAATGGCCCCCATGCTCGCCTGACCTAAATCCAATAGCTCACTTCTGGGATATCATGTTTTAGTCCATCCAACGCCTCCAGGTTGCACCTCAGACTGTCCAGGAGCTCAGTGATGCCCTGGTCCAGATCTGGGAGGAAATCCCCCAGGACACCATCCATCGTCTCATTAGGAGCATGCCCAAACGTTGTCAGGCATACATACAAGCACATGGGGCCATACAAACTACTGAGGACCATTCTGAGTTGCTGCAATGAAATTTCAGCAAAATGGACTAGTCTGCTGCATCATTTTTTCCCTTTGAATTCAGTCCTCTGTAGGTTGATAATTTTCATTTCCATCAAACTATGGGGCATCCTTACGTTCCTAACACATTCCCCGTCCATGTCAGTATAGAGATCCAGCAGGAGATTTATCCCCATTGAGATCTGATGTGTTTTCAAAGTGCTCCTTTAATTTTTTTGAGCAGTGTGTGTATATATATATTTTTATTTTTTTGTTAACACAATGCATGGTGGTCTTGCTTGTTGTACCTGAAATATTAATGTTCCTCTATATAAAATGTTCTAAATACACAGCTTATAATTACAGTGCTATAACAAGGTAAAAAAATCTGGATTTCCTTTTTACATTTGACAGAAACAATGAAAACCATAAAGGATGGCATGAAGATGCTTTCGGCACAGGAGAAGGTAAGTACAGATCTGCAGTAGTTAAAGTGTTACTAAACCCACAACAGTACAATCAGTCTGTATATGCAGTAAAGTATGCTTGTTATACTCACTGTGGAACCTAAGGGGTTAATCCTACACATTGTATAAAAAGGCTGTTTGATCCTGTCTTCTCTGATCCTCCCCTTCTTCTACTGTCCCCAATCCATCTGCAGATAGAACAGAGCTCTAAGAGACACTCTGCACATGCTCAGTTTACTGTGTGTTGCTAGAGAGGTTTTTTTTTTTGGAAGAGTGCATGTAATCATCACAGGGCCAATCAGCGCTGTTCAGACAGATGGTCAGGGGTTATGCAGCCTCATAGGACAATCAGAGCAGAATAAAACAGGGTCCTGAGAGACCAGATACTGTATAGTGAATGCAGGGTCCAGGGAGAGCAGATATAGTGAATGCAGGGTCCAGGGAGAGCAGATATTATTATTATTATTATTATTATAATACAGTATTTATAAAGCGCCAATAGTTCGCTCAGCTCTGTACATTACAAAGGGGGACAGAACATGTGACAGAACAATACCAATACAATGCAAAACATGAGGGGATCGAGGGCCCTGCTCTTTCGAGCTTACAATCTAGAAGGGACAGGTTAGTGGTGCAGGAGGAGATAGCTGTGGGGGATGGAGTGGTAGGAAGAGTGGAGGAGGTTGGTCAAGTTAGCAGGGGGTAGGGGGGTAGATATAGTGAATGCAGGGTCCAGAAGAAACCAGATATAGTGAATGCGGGGTCCGGGGAGACCAGATATAGTGAATGCAAGGTCCTGGGAGACTGGATATAGTGAATGCAAGGTCCTGGGAGACCGGATATAGTGAATGCAGGGTCCTGGTAGACCAGATATAGTGAATGCAGGGTCCTGGGAGACCGGATATAGTGAATGCAGGGTCCGGGGAGACCGGATATAGTGAATGCAGGGTCTGGGGAGACCGGGATATAGTGAATGCAGGGTCCTGGTAGACCAGATATAGTGAATGCAGGGCCTGGGGAGACCGGATATAGTGAATGCAGGGTCCGGGGAGACCAGATATAGTGAATGCAGGGTTCGGGGAGACCAGATATAGTGAATGCAGGGTCCTGGGAGACCAGATATAGTGAATACAGGGTCCGGGGAGACCGGATATAGTGAATGCAGGGTCCGGGGAGACCAAATATAGTGAATGCAGGGTCCTGGTAGACCAGATATAGTGAATGCAGGGCCCGGGGAGACCAGATATAGTGAATGCAGGGTCCTGGTAGACCAGATATAGTGAATGCAGGGTCCGGGGAGACCAGATATAGGGAATGCAGGGTCCTGGGGAGACCAGGTATAGTGAATGCAGGGTCTGGGGTTTAGTAACACTTTAACTTAGTATTTGGGACTAAGTCAAGAGATTAGGGTTAAAATGAGGTTTTGGTTAGGTTCAGTATTAAATTTGGGTTATAGGTCAGTTTTAAGAGTTAGACTAACTATTCCTAAATTCCTGAACACAATTTTAGCAACCTTGACATGCGTTAGGACAACATATCATCGCAACTACTTAGTGTATCTAGTTGAATTATACCTTGTTTTTTCAAGACAAATTGGGCTTTCATTTGATGGTAAATGGTAATTATTTTTTTTTTTTAATCAGTTCCTGCCCGGCCAATAGAAAAATGACGGCCGAGTGAGAATCTTGTAGATCCGTTTGGGCGTCATATGACATCCTCCAAGATCTGTCACCGGCTGTGTACCTCAGACACAGCCAATGACAGATCTGTGTACCGGCCCATTGTCAGTACCATTTGACCGCTGTGACCAATTACAGCAAGTCACATGACAATTGTAACCAATGGATGGCTTCCTTTCATGCCATCCATTGTATACAATTGTGTCACTAGCTGTGATTGGTCACAGTAATCACACAGGCCAATTAAAAATACATCTGTGTCATGTGATTAGCTGTGGCCAATCACAGTTAATCACAACAAAAAGAAACCTGAATGAATCTATTTAATTTTTGTTAAATGCTTGCTTATAGCAATGACATTCTTTGCTATAAGCAGTCATAATGTGTAAAAAGAAAAAATACTGATCAGTTCACTAAAGTATTACAATGTTACTAAGGTGTGTTATGAAAAAAAATCATTAAACAAAAAATGGAATAAAAATGAAAAAAAAAATGTAAAATGTAAAACATTTGTTTTTTTGTAGTGTCACCAGTCAGTGTCCCTGATCACCGCCACCACCACTTATGTGATGATATTGTACTGCATTGGTGACAGTATGTAAAAAAAAAAGTGACTTTTTTTTTTTAGTTTGTTCATTTTCCAAAAAATTATGACAAAAATGACAACTTCAAAAAACTCTCCATGCCTCTTACTAAATACCACAGACCTTTGCAAAAAAAGGGTCATTTGGGGGATCTCTGTACTGTCCTGACATTTTTGGGCCTCAAGAAATTTGATTAGTCGTTGGTACGTCAGGATTGGTCGATTTTCAGATATATACCATAGTTTTGTGGACTCTATAACTTTCCTACAGACTAAATAATAAATACTGATTTGGGTTAATTTCACCAAAGAAATGTAGCAAGAATACATCCTGGCCTAAATTTATAAAGAACAATTATTTATTTGCAAAATCTTATAACAGAAACAAAGAAAAACATGCCTTTTTTTTTAACAACATTTTTGGTTTTTTTTTTCATTGCTTTATCAAAAAATAAAAACCCAGTGGTGATTAAATACCACCAAAAGAAATCTCTAGTTTTTGTGAACAAAACGATAAAAATTTAATTTGGGTACAGTGTTGCATGACCGCGCAATTGTCATTCAAAATGCCAGGGCACTGAAAGCTGAAAATTGGCCTGGGCAGGAAGGGGGTAAAAGTGCCTGGTATTGAAAAATGGTTAATTATTATCAAAGAAAAGTGATCCAAAATATAAAAAAAATATATATTGTATATATTTTTAATTTAGCTGTATATTTCTTGCTATTACTATACCATACCACCAAAGAAAATAAATTCTCCTGCTCCTGCTGTTTGTATTTATACAAATTAAAAAAATATATTTTTTTAATCCCACCTAAAATATACACTGTCTTTGGCCTTTAACTCTGACCTTGACCATTGATCCTGAACTTGACCCTAACCCTGACCTAGATAAAACACTGATCTAGCTATTTTTCAATGTATTTTCTACTCTTCTGTGTAGATAAAGTCGGAAACCAGGTGAAGATGAATGAAATTTCTCTTTATTTCATCCAAGGAGCAAAATAACAAATTATATAAAGAGAATTTGTATTATTCTTCACCTGGTTGCCGACTTTATCTACATGGAAGGACTCTTGATGATTGGGTGGTAGTGCCTTTATCTTGCATGTGCGTTTTTTTTTTAATTCTGCTTTCTTTTTCCACACGCACATTTATTTGTTTATATGTTTCTCCTATGTCAAGGAGAAAGAGATACAATGTATTTTTCTCTCCATTAAGAGGAGAAAGAAAGCACAGGGGAGGGCTGTACGGTGACTGACCCACCGTGACAGCTAATAAGAGGCTATTGTAGCAATCAGGTGATCGGGAACTGGGACTCCCAGTTCCCAATCATTAGTACAAGATCTGGGGTTCTCGGTGAGAACCCAGCTTTTGTTTGTTCCTTTCAACCCCCCTTCCCCCAGCATCCCCCCTCACCTGCCGACATTGGATTTGTTGTTCAGGTATGTAATTTGAAGATAATGCAGGAATTAAGCATCACTTTAAGTGAATTTATCCTTTTTACCCCCTTCCCCTGACATAACCTAACCCACCCACCCCTTTTACAGATGCATACTGCTGGATATGAGTGCCCCAAAACCGTTGCCATCAGATCAAAGTACACTATATTGCAAAAAGTTTTAGGACGCCTGCCTTTATATGCACATGATCTTTAATGGCCCCCCAGTCTTAGTCCGTAGGGTTCAATATTGAGTTGGCCCCGCCCTTTGCAGCTATAACAGCTTCAACTCTTCTGGGAAGGCCGTCCACAAGGTTTAGGAGAGTGTCTATGGGAAGGTTGGACCATTCTTCCAGAAGCACATTTTGGAGGTCAGGCACTGATGTCGGACGAGAAGGCCTGGCTCGCAGTCTCTGCTCTAATTTATTCCAAAGGTGTTCTATCGGATTGAGGTAGGACAGTCAAGTTCCTCCACCCCAAACTGGCTCCTCCATGTTCTTATAGACCTTGCTTTGTGCACTGGCGTGCAGTCATGTTGGCAACTTCCAAACTGAGACATGCCTATCAGATTGCCAGACAGAGAAGTGTGATTCGTCACTCCAGAGAACACGTCTCCATTGCTCTAGAGTCCAGTGGCGGCATGCTTTTACACCACGGCATCCGACGCTTTGCATTGCACTTGCTGATGTAAGGCTTGGATGCAGCTGCTCAGCCATGGAAACCCATTCCATGAAGCTTTCTACGCACCGTTGTTGTGCTAATCTGAAGGCCACACTAAGTTTGGAGGTCTTTAGCTATTGACTGAAAGTTGGCAACTTCCGCACACTGTGCGCTTCTGCATATGCTTACCCCGCTCTGTCATTTTACGTGGCCTACCACTTCGTGGCTGACTTATTGTTGTTCACAGTTGCTTTCACTTTGTTATAATACCACTAACAGTTGATCGTGGAATATTTAGTAGCCAGGAAATGTCACGGATGGACTTATTACATAATAAACACTACTGCATTTACAAGTCACTCAAAGTCTACTGTGTATCTATCTATCTATCTTCTTTACGCTGCAGATAGTTTTGACATTGGCTGTATGTATGGGGTTGTTGACCTGCTGCTGCATAAATTTGGGGCTGATCACGTGCCTCCCAGATGGTATGGCATGATGGATAGGTATCTGCTAGGTATCTACTCGTATTTCTCATCATCAAGAACACCATTGATCCTAATCAAATCTCCAACTCTACAGAAATGCAGCGCCAAACTTGCAAGGAACCTCCACCATGCTTCACTGTTGCCTGAAGACACTCATTCTTGTACTGCTCTCCAGCCCTTCGGCCAAAAAAACTGCCTCCTACTACAGTCAAATATTTAACTTTTTGACTCATCAGTCCAGAGCACTTGCTGTCATTTTTCTGCTCCCCAATTCCTATGTTTTCATGCATAGTTGAGAGCCTTATTTTCCAGGTATGGCTTTTTGGACGCAGTTCTTCCATGAAGACTGCTTCTGGCCAGACTTATCCACACAGTAGATTGATCTACTTACTGGTCCTACTGGTTTCTGCCAGTTCCGTGCTGATGTCACTGCTGGACATCTTCAGATGTGGAAGGGAACTAAACATGATATGTCTTTCAACTGCTGCATTAAGTTTCCTTAGGCCGGCCATTACAGTTCCCAACGTTGCCTGTGCTTCTTCAAAAAAGCTTGATGAATCGAATTGATGCTGGTTTGAGGCCAAAAGAGAGTCACACCAAATATTTAGATTTTCCTTCTGCATTTTTGTAATTTGATTAAAATAAACAATTAAAATATTTAAGAATTCTTACTTTACAGCATTTCTTCACACCTGCTTAGAACATTTGCACAATAGTACATACACATATACTGTATATATACTGTACTGATATATATATATATATATATATATATATATATATATATATATATATATATATATATATATATATATATATATATATAGGCAGTGTGAGGCTCTGCCAGTGTGAAAACATAGCAGAAATGGACACAAAATTACTTTTCTCGGTTTTGAGAGAAAAAAATATGCTTTTTCATCTTACTCCAGATTTTGTAATTCCTTGATCAGGGTAGACTCCAATCTGTTTTGCGAGGGAGGAGGTCTCCCTCCAATCTCCAATTTCTCCAGAATCCAGCAGGTTGAGTGTGTAAGTGTTCACATCTCTAGACAAAACAAAAATAATTACTCCTGTTCGGACCTCGAAAAACAACTCCCTTTTAGGAGCTGCAAGCAAACATCTACAACCAAACAATACTATAAAAGTAAATAGTGTTGCGCTGCTTCAAAGGGTATCACTCATACAGTCACTCCACCAAATCAAATATGTGTATACACAATTACATGTGGTTATAAACTTAAATTCCAAACAATCAACCTTGAATACATCTCCACAGAATCGTAAAGCTTTCAGTAATACTCCAGTGGTGTCTACATACATAGCTAGTTTGGCTGAAGAGAGACAAAAGTTCATCCAGTTCAACCATGTCTAAACATGCAATAAAATAACTATCCACTTAGTTCCTCTGATATGACACCAAAAACTGGTCATTTCAATTGTGCTCCAAAGTTTGTGTATAGAGTGAAC